AACTGGCTGATTTACAGCAACGTAAAGATTTAGTCAGAATGACCGCGAAACGGTCGGAATCCTGAATTTCCTCCCTAATGAGAGTCTTCCTTAAGGACATCAGGGAAAGTGCTATAGAACTTATCATTTTTTGTGACGATTGGAACCAGACTAACCGGTGTTATATATATATATATATATATATATATATATATACACGATGGGTTACACAACCATTACTCGATTCCCTTGAAATTCCGAAAGATAATTGATTCGCCGGAGATCCGTGTAGTCAACCGAAAATGGAGTCCACATATTTAGGCCAACAAATGGCTTTGAGACAAGGCATTTGGCAATGCACAACGCGATCAAAAAAGGTAGTTACCTTCTAGGTAGGGGTCTGAGAGCTTGATGGAGTGAAGAATTGCAGACACTGGACGACGCGCAAGTAACCGACTGCCACACTCTTGTTATATAATCGGACGAGAATGCCTGGAAAGTTCTGTCTTCACAGTTGAACTGATCTCTGTTGTTTGTCACTTTTCGCCAGACCATTTATGAAGGAACTGTATGCTGCCGCAGTTCAGTTGCAAAGTGCAAATAACCGTTAGGGGTAAGGATAAAGAACGACTTTTGTTGTTCAGACGTCGCCGTCTATGTCCGTCATCATATTTATTGCGTGAATGACAATACGGATATTGGTACATATAATGATTCCTTCGCAATGGGAATCTCACATGTCTTCGACATATTTCATCCGCATCAAATAGTGGGCATCTTTCATTTCTTCACCTGCCACTTCAGTGATCAGGTTTGTTTCCAGATGACAGATATTGATGAATTGTAATTGGTAGTGATTGGAATGAAACAGAGAAGAAGCCCTTCTGACCACTCATCATGATACCAACGGGCTGAAGGATGTAATCATTTTCACATTGTCAAGTTGCATCAGAGATGGTTTACAAAGAAAAAATACAGAAACGAAGCCTGAAGCCACAGTAACAGTTGAAGCAATGTTTGCTTCTTATCACTGTAACAATCTAGCTTCTTTTTTAAATAACCTAGTTAGTATGAATGATTCTAGATGGTTGATGTGTTGTTTCCTACCCGATTGCCTGTCCATTGTAGTGATCACGGGAGCTGCCTTTATTCCGTTTGCTATATGACCAAGTCGGAAATTTAGTCAAAACATCCAGCGGCACGAATCATCGTTGTTGGGCTATGAGAGCGTTCAGTGCCTATTCGACCTCTGAAATATCGGTTTGAATCTGTCCCTCCGTGATCTTCGTTGAAATAAGTAATCTCACGTTACTGGGTAACTGTTACTGACTTGAAATGAGCCAGTAGCAACGTTCGCCAAATGCCCACTCACACGTGACACCGATAACCTTTACCTAAACTGACTGACTACCGATAAGCATGACAGTAGTTAGTTGCTGAATACCGTTCTCAACAATTTGAAAACGGCGCCCACCCTCTGTTCTCTCGCACCGTACGTAATCTAAGGATTAACACAAAAGTACCTTACGATCACCAATTTTTTTCTCTCCATACAGTTCAAGTGAGCACGTAACCACAGATGCATTGGCTCACTCCGTGCCAATTGAATGGTGACAGCTCTCAGGTCTGGTAGACAGTATTTGTGTACTGGAAACAAAATAAGGCATTTTTTGTACTGTAGAGTTTTCCACTTAGTTATTCAGCTTCTAGTCGTGGTTTCTTCACTCAATTTTCAGCCTTCGGTCATCTTTTGCAAATGTTCACTTATGATTATTAGCCTTCGATCATGTGTTGAGCTCTGTCCGGTATCAGAACTTGGGCGTTCGAAGTATCAATACATTGAATCGTTCATCCCCTACCTATATTTCTCTCTTCCGGGCATATAACTCTGCCAGGACACACGCAGACACAAGAACAATGACTCAGTTTTCAGTTGATAGTTAATCTGCTCTGTGGTCTTTGTGATCAACAACCTTTGCCAAATCACCTTGTCTGGGTGCTTTCCCACTCAGCGTTTTTAATCAGATAAACATACCGAATGGTTGTTAGGACGTGCCTTTATGATAATCAGTAAGTCAGTTGATACTGAGATTTACAATTATGAACTAAGACGGAAAATTCATGAATAGCTAAAAGCGATGATAGGCATTTGAACTACCGCAGAAACGCTGTAGTTCCGCATAACTGTTCGCCTTTTTAATTTTTAAATAAACACGCTTGTGTGATGAACAGCAGGCGGGGCGAACGCCATAGTCACGAAAACCTGCTTTTCAGTGATGGAAACCGGTGACCTTAGTCCTGGGGCTTGTAGTGGCGAACTTTATAGGGCCCTTCTAGGTTAGATGTGAATTGAATTGAATTGAACCGAATGGCAGCGAAGCAACCTTCCACCAAAGTTGGATGTGATGTGCACGAATTCCAGCGGATCCGGCTTGAGCTCATTGATAAACTGGAAGAATCCAGAGAAAACATTCACAGTCAGCTACAGCATTTCTCGGTTAGACATGTGCCAAGCAGGATATGGTAAACTAATCCGGAAACCAGGTTCCGCAATTCGTTCCGGTCTTGGTTTCACGCGCGTTCACTTTGACCGGTTCTGTCAAGAGGTCCAAACAGCTATATTTGACCGGCATCTTTGACTAACGAAATTATTGCCGGCAAATAAATAAATAAATACAGAATGAGAGAATCACAATCGCCAAAAGCCGGTAGCTAGCTCCGTTTTCGTCAATTCTATCCACATTTTGTGGGTGGCTAACATTTTCATAATTTCATTTGGTCCGCAGTGTCATTCATTCAAGGTTTAAAACCACTCATAGGTAAATCTTTTTTACCTAGAATCGTACTTTATCTATTAACCCCTTTACCGGTAAATTTGTTTTTTCCATTGAAATGTGTACCGAGCTTTCGCTTTTGTCTTCAGTAGAAACACCCACACCACAGAAACATGATTTCTAAACCAGATGATGTAGCGAACGTAGTTCATTGAAGACCGATCGGCGCAACGTGCAATAGGTGGTAGGACTCGATAACTAGCAAATCATCGGCTGCCATAAATAAAGCTAATCTCTAGCAGTTCCGTTAATTATCATCCGCAAGAGTTGATTACTTTCCCTAACAAAATGAACTTCCTGAAATATTTTTCTCAGACTGAATTCACGAATTTTCAGACCTGTTTTTATTCGACTCTATAATTCATTGTTTTGTATTAGAGAAGTGAGTGGTTTTGAATGATCGGGTTTTTGCTAATCGAGTATTTACTGCAAACTATATTCGAACCAGCTATTCTTGGACATCCTTGGNATCCTTGGTAAAGTTCACTGTCTTTTATTTCTTCGTCGTCGACGTTCAACTGTATGCCATGCTTGTGAAACATTAGTTGCAAAATGCATACACGTTAGCCATCTAAACTCTTTCTAGACGAGTCTCTAATTATTTCCCTCGTAATATACTCCATCTTGGACTTATCAGCCAACCAATGCTGTCTATAGTGAACAAAATCAACGCACAAAACACTCAACAAACTTTATGTTCCCGTTTATGACGCAGCTATTCTGTGGAAACCGATAGTCTAACCAGCATGTTGCGATTGATGTATGGGGTTCGTAAACGTGTTCTGCATACCCGCAACAAGAAATAGCTAAAGGAAACCAGTCATGTTTTGGTACACCACAAATCGATGACACCTTTGCGAAAACGCTTTTTAGCGTAATGATTAGCAGATGGGAGGTTCACTAAGGTGTTGCTAGGGAACTTTCTTTCCTACAGCTACAAAGCGTTTCCGGTCTTGGAGAAAGTAGTCATTAAACATTGAGCCCCGATAATACAACAAATTCACTTGAAAAATAATGGTAAACAGTCACGTGACTGAATTGACAAAACCATTTTCTCAACCGAATCAAAAGTAGTACAGAAAAGAAATGTAGACAGTTGTGTGCTTCTGTTCATTGAGCATTGCAATGGGTTCGCTGAACAGTTCAAAACACATTATCACGGAACAGAACTACGAGCTGATTAAGATCGCCGTGAGGGTTAAGTGTCTGTGGAAAACCAACTTTTATCGTAAGAAATCTTAACGTTGATGTTTTTCTCTTATCCCAAAGATTACTTCCACAGTTCCATCGGGTGATTTATGGTTAGAGGAATATCGTCCCCTCGTGTTTTGAAAGATGCACCAATGTTTCATGAGGTCTCAGTTTGAAAGGATTAACTTTCAACCATCAACTTGAAATGACTGAAGGGCAAATTAGAATACTATCAGCTTATAGATAGATAGATAGATAGATAGATAGATAGATAGATAGATAGATAGATAGAGAGAGAGAGAGAGAGAGAGAGAGAGAGATGCCCGACGAGCGGTATGGGCTGAGAAATGGGGAAATTTTATCAAGTTATTCACATACTACTTATTTTCATATATATAGACATATATATATATATATCACAGTCACAAATTTAGATTTCACATCACTTTGATAATCGTATCCGGAGGTTATATTCTTTAAGCTGATAGTAAATCTGGTACAATAAACCACCGCGCGCATGAACATGGTTCGATTTTGTGAAATACAGATACCCTTCCAATCCTAATTCATGTATCAAGTAAATATTGACTCGAATTGCTTCATCGGCTGGTGCTCTAAAAACAGACCGAATTGTCGTGTCACATTCCTAAATGTTCGTAGACTTCTATTCACCTGATCCCAGCAGGAATTCGTGTTCCACTCGGTTGTATGTACCCACATACACAGTGAACTACTTGATTCAATATCATTTCTCATTCACTCCCTTTGGACCCAACACGCTCATAAATAAAGCTTTCACTTCCTGTTTTCACCTAACTGCTTCGTCCGTCCTAATAGAACGCATCGCGGTTATTGCTTTTTCAGCTGATTGTGATGCGGGTGTGCGTTCATTCGAATAGAGATCAACCAGCCCAAAATTTTCAGGAGATATATATATGTGCTTAGACTATCTAATTAAGTTGTGATCTTTTTCACATGCTCCCGATTCGTCCACAGGACATTCTCGTGTCATCGCCCTCGCACAAAGAACTCTGGATCTCCGGTGCGCACTGCCGCTGCGCCGACCGCAGCTCCCAATCCAACAACAGACACTTCACCCGTAGTCCGGGTTGACTCGAACTTCCGATTTACTGTGGTGGACATGCTCAACCCAGAAGCACGTCATCAGTTCTCCAGAAACTGTCCGGAAAGAGCCACCGTGGCTGTACCTGGTACTCGTCGCCCAGGATTTCCCACGAAGCGAACAGGAGTACAACCATCTCCGTTGGACCGTGGCGCAACAGATCACGTCGATTCCATTTCCTCTGCATCAACTAACAGTCGGGCTGATACACTGAATGGATCCTCGGCCAATACACTTAATTCGGATGCAACACACAAACGTCTTAACACTCCGCAAACCCCAAAGAAGGTCAACGAGTTTACTTTACCCAATGATGTTCCCAGTGTAGCCGGGAGTAACACGTCTGGCCCAGCGGAGGATAGTCGAAACTCTCCCCGATTGAGATTGCCAACAACGGCAATTTCACCTGTCGCATCTGCCACTACTCCTAGTTCGCTGACGCGAGATCCAATGACGCAGTGGTCAATGCGTTTGCGCGTGTCGGGCTCAACAGAAAAGCCACGAACAGATGAGCATCAGCCTACCACTACCCCCGGTGCATCAAAAACTTTGCCGATGGAGAAAAGTACAGCAATAGCCGGAACTGGATCTAATACCGCAACGCCTATGAGTGATAGCCCAACCGTGCTAACTTCAGCAAAACCTTACTCTACCCCTTCTACCAAGCCGGGCCAATTCTTCCGACGTCTCACTTCACGAATCTCCAGAAGGTTAGTCTGACGTGTTGCCCAATTGTTAGCGGCGACTGTGCCCTGCTGTTTGCAGTGTGTACCATGGTTTGCTTTGCTTGTGTTTTACTATTGTTATTTTTCTCATTTCCCGGGTCTACAGAAAACAACGGTAAAGGTAATTCACCTATTTATGCCATATTTTTGAAGACGTTTTATTTTATTTTGTTACTCGAACTCCATTAGAAACCCCGCTGCCTTTGGTTTGTTTATGAATATGTTTTATCTACTGATGTGTTCACTTATGGCTAAACAATCACAAAACGGGTTCCCTTAATTTTGCTCTGGTCAAATCAACTGTCCTCGCATGTCTCAAGCAGATACGGCTTCGGCTCCCGAACTCCTCAAACTAGATGTGCCTTCTTTTAGCCACTTCTCATCCTCCGCCACCCCACTCCCGTCCTTTTCCTCGAAGTGGGAGACAGTAATAATCAGATTGAGTTGAACCAACGCCCGGCTTACTTAAGCGCTTCGTAGTCAAAATGTATTTCAACACTTTCAATAAAATATGATTCGTGATTCTATCTATCTCGTTGGTCTTTGATGCGTACTACCTAGTCCTGGAGTTCTAAAACCTCACTGGAGTAAAGAAAGTTTACCCTTCTTCGCAATATTCTTTCCTGTGCCACAATTTTCCATTGCAAACTAACTGCGTTGTTAATTTCTGTTTTTTTTTTTGTGGATGAATCGTAGTCTGCACCGATCAGAAACGTACCTTCAAGGAAACCGTCACTTGTAGGACACGGTAACTTTATTTCCGCAAGTTCTTGTCGCTTCTCTCCTGGTCCACTTGAATCAATTGAGAAGGGGTAGGTGATGGACCAAACGAGTATACAGCTAATTTCATCACTGGGAGACGAAAGCAAAAAGCGCTTTCCGATGTCGCTTAGTGATTCAATGTTCCTTTTAGGATAACTCCACAATCATCACATGGAGATTTCTAAAAATACTCATTTGTGTGCGTCCTATTACGTTTTCTCCGCGGAGTTTCCTCTCTTATGTGTGTATTGATTGGTTGGTCAGTGATGGGGGTTTTGTTGGTCCACCGCAGTGATGAGTAGATGCTTTTATTGTTTTTGGGACAAGCAGTCAACCTTGTAACCGAAACTCGGCAATCGTTTTGTGGACCGCTAATGCACGCATCTCTTGCCGTCGCGTATCGGCATCGTCATGAACTATTATCGATTGTGCCCGTCATTCGGGCGTGGCTATCAGGAATGTCGGTTGAAACACTCTTGGTCCAAAGCTTGCAATGAGAGGTACAGCCATGCTAGATTTAAATAAATTGTCGAATCGGATTTTTCGACGTCCGTTGATAACGTTGCAAATAATCTGACTAGAAAATGAATATGGCGGGATTTAAATGATTAGCGTGATCGAAACGCAGTGGGTTTCGCCACCACCGATTTACAGCAAATGCAAAAATACACTTCTTTGTGATTTGATTGTTCATGCGTTATTCTTGTCTTTCCTGTGAGGATTCACAAATTCCGTGTTTTCANTCATAAATTAATATGGTTTTGGTTTCTCTACATGAACTCTCTTTTTCCGCAAAAAGTATTAAACATAGGAAACAGAAAACTATGCGGAAATTATCGGGATAGTCTAGATAAGTGTCCCTTCTTTTCACCCACATCATGTACAATTTATTCCGCCACTTGTTGTTGTTTCCAATGATATTCTACCTAATTGACCATTGAGCTGGGTTATGGCCATACGAACCACTTGACTAAGGTTACTCCGGTTCCATTACAGTTGCGAACAGTGTAGAGCCCTAGTGTCAGATAAAATTCACTGTTCCGACTACACGCTATCTTAACCCATCGTGGGAAATCTGAGTAAGGAACACTGTGTCCTTGTTTACCACGTTTATCATTATTATCCGGTCGGTCATCGCTAACCAGAACATACAAAATTCAGACCAGAAACAGGTCTCTCTTGGTTCATCATATGGTGAATTACCTTTGATTGGCCATCTGTCAGAAGGCATCGTAAACTTTTTCATAGTTTAAAGCATATTTTTTATGACACGTAAAGTGAATTGCAATATAAGGGATAAACCCGATAGTTCAAGCATACTCTAAAAAGCAGTGTTAATGGAAATTCACTTAAGAGCCAGTTTATTTATCCTACGTCTAAAAAACGACTTGGGAGACAGAGCGGGGAGCTACCATAATTTAATGATTCGGGTAAAAGAACGATCAGAAGACGAGAATAATACATCTGTTCACAGAAACTTGATGGGAATGGTTAGCTCCCCTAGGACGCGATTGGTGGGCGAGATTTACAGGAAGGGAACCAACTGGGTAAGCTAAGAATAACCCAAACCTAACAATTAGGAAACGTACGGTAAGGAAGCCACTTGGCAATAAGCTGGTATCTGCAAGTCGAATGTTTCGTAAGGTTACTCCATGAGTTGAATACCCTTTCTTCGAACCCGCACGGGAAGTAGCACAAGTTGACACTTCGTGCCAAATGCAACTGAAGTATCCCAGTGTGGAGCAGTTTTAATTTTTGTATAGTGGGAGACATGATGTGGTAAAGAAACTTCCGATGGAACTAAAAACTAACCATTTCCCCAGAATGAGAAACGAGGGGAGATGCAAAAAGGAACCTATGGAATGAAGAATTTGCACGCAATCCAAAAAATGAAGCAGGGTCTGTGGAAAGTAATTTGGTTGAATCGCAATGTGATAAGACTTGGCGTTGTTTCCGAGAATTTGAAAGAAGATACGTTTTCACCCCAATAAAGAAAATATGACTTTGGTAGCCTCAGGTGATGTGCTAGAGGTTGAAGTCGATTCGTACACTAACTACTGTATAGTCACGAGCGATTTCGGTACTGACTCGAGTCTAAAGGACTCTAACTGGTTGGTTGGATGTAGTGAGGGTTATGACAGCCAATTTACAGCAGTGGCGTTTTTTTTGTTATCGTCAGTGAGACCCGATTGCTCGAAAATTACTCTGTTTACTATCCTTTTTAACGGATCCACTCTTCATCCACCTTAGGAAGGCGCACACTCTTTATGTAAATCGCGCTTTTGTCGGCGATCAGTGAAGTGTGCTTCATTGTATTTTGCGTCGTAATGATAAAAAAGATCAAAATTCCTGTTCATTCGTCTTTGCTGGTTTGAGAAAATTTCTTTCAGCCATTGATCTGGTCCACCCACTTCCACAAAGTTGTATTCATATACCGTGCACCTCCTCATCAATATTGTCTGTCCGGTTCAGTCCACTGCTCTAATGGTTTATCGAGGTGTATCTGCGGATACCTGTTTCAGCTTCCTGCAGCCACAAGTGACAGTTGAGTTAGCAATAGAGACCGGAGAGGTGGACGATTCATCAGGTATATGACAATCTGCCAGCCTAAGGACGCTCGCTATTCTATACACATTTGCCGTAACTAAATAAATACAGAAACAAAAGGCTCCCCCGTGGCATCCGGTTATTCTTAATCTGAACCGTTATACACATACTAGGTACTTTTCCTTCTCGTATTGACTGAAACCCTCGTACTGCCCATGCTTAGTATGCTCACATTGGCTTATCCACGGGAGTAGACTCGTTTCCAGCTGGTGTATCTAATAACAATGTTCATATAAACTGTCATAGGATACCTGTGGAGTTTTAGATCGACACTCATTTCATATTCCGTCCGTAGCTCGCATTACCTCTTCAATGATCTATTCCAATTGTCTAATTATCTAACGTTCAGCTTTCGTCGTTCTCGGTGAGTTCTAACGCTTTCCATGGGTTCACATATTTATATATACACACACGCACACACCTCGCATAGTTCTGCTGCACTACGTGCACTCTCGGTTTACTCATGAACATGAACGGTTGAATGCAAAATGCAGCCAAATAAATACAAATATTTTCGATCGGCTGCCATCAGCCTAGCTCAGGATGCGCACGAGAAATTCTAAACAGTGATTGTTTTAGTTATTGCTTTGATTCGCTTGCAAATATATAATGTTTGCAATTGCTTCTGATGCAGTCAAATCATAGTGTGTGGTCATGTCATTTTCTCCCTTTTGACGATGATTGGCTCGTGTTTAATGGGCTGTTTGGCGGTCGAGCTGTGCGATTTGGTCGCCATTTCAGTTGGTTCCATGTTCATCCAACTTACACTGGATTTGAGTACTGTGACGGGATCGTCTTTACAATATAGAGGTTATAGTTGAATTTCGAAACTAAACTTCATTAGAAATGTGCATAGCTGTTTGTTCTGCACCTCCCTGTTGCTGACTGATGATAGACTGGGTGTCATTTTGAGACTCCTAATGATAAATATTTTCTCATCAATCGGGTGACACGATCACCTTAATTTGCAATGTAGGGCGCGATATTTACATGCTCTGTTCATCGAAAAAATCACTAAGGCATCCTGTTAGTTAACTTATCATCGGTCAGGTACGTTTCTCTCATCTATTTGACAAGCTATGCTTTTCTGCTTGATTCCCGTCTCTTAGTACGGAATATAACGAAGCCATTTGTGCGAATTGCAACTGCGTGTAGTACATCGATGCTAATTACCCGCGCTTCATTCGCCTCACGCTGTCCGTGGTTTGCTGTGCTCCTAATTTTTACCCTAGTTTGTTTCTTTCGGTGTCTTTGTCTTTCCTTCACTCACCTATCTTCCTATCCACCCATCTGTCTTTTTCTTTGGGTTCCGTGTGCTTCTCACAACCGTGGTTTGTTACCTCCGCTTTGGCCGTACCCGAATCGTGTACATAGTCATACACACGGTCGGACAGACGAAGTCAAGAGGCGTGATGAAACGGAGTCACAATCAGCTGATCATCCGGTTGCTGGCGCTCAGTCAGATGTCAGTGAGTCTCACACAGGGATTCGCTTGGCCACAGATTCGAGTCGCACTGGGTCAACCGGTGATCTGATCGTTTCACACCCGGTCGATCCCTGGACCACGCGTCAACGACAACGCAGACCCAAATCATCCGCAGCCACAAACAAGCATGCGACTATCTCAATCACTTCATCGACCCACGATCCGGATTCACACTCGAGTGGAACAGATGCACGAAACGGGTACCAGGGCGAGAGCGCTGACGATGCCACCCTGAATGCCCGAGAAAATGAGCCATTTATCCCGCGTAAGCATCCCACGCGGCATCCGCTCCCCAGCACATCTTCGACAGGTCGCTGATTTCCTTTCTGAACAATAGTTTCGTTCATCATCCGCACCGCTGTTAGATGATCTGCTAGTGTGTTTGTCCACTTACCCTTTGAGCAGGCAGTTTCTGAGCTCTGTGGATTTGATTATAACCTGTCATACCAAGTTCTTTCCACCCAGCAACTGTTCATTCTGATTGTATAGATAACTCCTGATTATTCGGTCGTTCGGATGGTCTTAGTTTGGTATATGTTTGTTCTTTCCGACCAATGACCTCCTTATTGAATGATCGGCGTCCAGTTGAACTCAGCTCACTTCAAGCCATCTTAAATTCATCTTGATTACAAAAGTTTAGATTGGGTATTCTTCACTACGATTGTTGCGATCCGTGATGGTCTATACACGGACATCCTAAACTTGATAGCCTCGGTAAGAGGGTGGGAAAAAGTAGAATGAGCCAGTCTTCGTGGGGTTGTTAACCCTGGGTTTTACGAGCTGAATCTCAATTGGTGGAAATGTCGATCACTGGACGACTTAACAAGCATTGGAAATACCTACCTCCATTGTCGGAGTATAAGGGATGTAAATGGGTGGGTAATGGGGCACTGCTTGTGCTTTCATGCATCATCCACGTGTACTCAGAAGCTATGTAAATTTCGAATCCGGCTGCAACTTAACCATTTTAGTGTTTTTTTATCAATGTTTCGTGTGTGTGCGTGCGCTTTTACTTTTCCGCGTGCATAACCAGCTGCCGGTGCATCTGTGGTGGTTCTAACTGTTCACAGACATATATGCACTCTCTCACTAATGTTAGTGTGTAACCGCTCACTCGATGTTGGTTTATCACTTGTCTCCCTCCATTCCCGTAAAAGAATAAGGCGAGGAAACTCATTGCACAATAATTTTCAATTTGTCTTCACGTGGTAGCATATATTTCTCACCTGAAATACCACAATGAAGATAACGGTTCTAGCGCCTCTGGAATGAATTTCGATTTCTAAACACCATACGCGATTAATACGCGTCTCGTAATATTGTTCAG